CGAAGAGCAGCTGCCAGGACTTCACTGGAAAGGCCACACACCCTTCTGGGCTCTTACTCTGGTGACCCTTTGACTTGTTCGCAGCCCCTGAGCTGAAGCTGCCTTTGTTTTTCTTGTCTCCTCTGAAGGGAGAGGAGGAAGTGCTGAATAAATTAGGCCTCAGGTTCCACATCAGAGAGCTGGTGAATGGGTACAAGCCTTCAAGAGCTTGAGTGTTTACACTCCGGAGAGTTGGAACCTCTCCTTCCAGGTAGGAATCGGGCTGCAAGATGAGGATTTGAAGATGGGAGATATTTGATAATGAGGTGAGAATTTCTTATCAGAACCAGGATTGGCTCTCAGAGAACTGGTTAAGATTTGGGAAGAAACAGAAAAAATTGAGACTTCTACAAGGTTTGATGATAGTTGTGGCTGAAATTTTAGGAGGCAGTTTAGGATGTGGGAGAAAATCAATGGTAAGTGTTGCTTTAGATCAAAGGAGAAAGTATTAGAGGGCAGTGATGGCCCGAGGTGAAGTATTCAGACTGCTGTGTGGCATGGAGTGAGACTGTCAAGGGACTATTCATCGGGTATCTGTGATCCTGGGTAACTGGGGGACAGGAGGACAGCTCGGAGCAGTGGAGCCCCTCCCTGCAGCAGTGCAGTGATATGTGATGTTTGCTGGTAGAAATCCTCAGGTCTTGGGAGTCCCGTGATTGTTCGAGACCATGGCTCTTCTTGGTTGTAGGTTTGTAGGGAGCCGAAGAAGCAGAGGTTATAAACAGTCATGCTGAATTTCCCCACGCCTCCCTTTTCACGTCCCCTTCTCTTCCCACTCCCTTTCCACTGTAGAACTTTCTCCCTGCTGCAGCCTGGGCCTTAAATTCCTACGCTGTGCAGAAGCTGCAAGGTTTTCCAAACATGGCAGTGCCAGCCCTGTACCATCTCTCCACCTTCCCCAGTTTGAGAATTTGGCAGTTCCTTCAACTGCCTGGCTTGGGGTAAGGGAGACCATCGAAGTAGAAGTCTCAAAGCAGACTCCCCTTTACGGTCCAGGATGAGGAAGGAGCGTCATGCTTGGCACTTCAGTTGAGTTTTCCCTGGGAGGAAAGCTGAACTGAGCAGTCACTATGAACTCAGGGCCAGGCTCTCTAAGAATTGTCTTTTCTGTACTAGCTGAACTAGCTACTGAGAAAGTCTCATGTTGCAGAGCCTTGCCCACCTCCCCCATCTGCACCCTTTTCTTCTCCCACAGTTGTCATTGCTGCTAATGGTCAAAGGCAAATGTATGGGCCAGGTCCTCTCAGGCTACTTTCCGGATGTTATTTTTTAAATATGGGACATGCAGGTGCCTTTCCAAAGAGGCTTGGACTGGTATTAAAAACCAGAAACAAATAAGCTAATAGAAGTATGAACTCAAGAAGAAAGATGTTGGCAGTCTGTGTAACAGCTGGAAAACTTTAAGTGCCCACCTTTGGGACAAGTGACTGAAGATGAACTTGTAATATCTGCTATTTAAAAGAAATGTTCTCACCTTGGGTTGATTGTGTACAGTATGTTATGAAACTTGTTGAGCTAAAGCTTTGACTTGCTTGAGTCGAGTAGGAATCATTTGCTTTGGTTCCTGTGTATTTTATGATCCCCCTGTCAGTGACTTTCCATCCCCATCCCTCCTCCCCCCTAGTGTGAATTTGTAGCATGATTTGTACAAACCTCTCTGTAGAAATGGAGATTTCTTGTTCTCTGAAATGTTACGCTCTAGCCAATCAATCTAGCCTAGTGTGTCTGAACTTACTTTCTTGTTATATATTTAAACTTTTCCTCTATACTATGGATTTTGTGGCATCCTATGGTCAGGTGGAGAGGAAGCTGCCCCTTACACAACTGTACTGTAACTATTTTTCTTTTTAAGAAATTATTTTCACAGGACTGATTGTACACAGGGCTTATAATAAATTTTAACACTGTGCTGTGAAACCACAATGGTAAATCCCCATTGACGGCTATTTCAAAAGCACCTAAAAGTGGAGTGTTATGTCTATGACTTTATTTCTTGCTTCCTGAGTATATTAAACCTAATTTTTGCCCTTTCATTCTGTTTCAGCCTCCTGTATAAGACCGTATTTTCTGCCCATCATACTTTGTAATAAAACTTGAACATGTATAGGTTGACTGAATAATTTCTTGTGGTGAATTTAGTTCTTCCCATTCTGCTACCATGGTCATGTTCCAGAGACACTGGCTGGGGGATTAGACTGCACCCCAGCTCATCACTATCTGACAGCCTAACTTATCACCTTGAACAAAACACAGAGCGCCTCCTCTATGCCACAAGTTGCTCACAGTCTACCAGAGGAAACGCCACATAAACAAATACTGTCAGTGTGCAATAATAGGTGTGTTCAAGCTTACTTGTAGCCCTGGGGAGTTAGTAATCACCTTTGACGGTGGGAGCCAGAGATGGTAAGGGGAAAATCTCATAAGACATACTTGAACTGGGCTTTGAAGGCTGAGTTGGAATTCTCTAGGAATAGGGAAAGGCATTTAAGACAGAGGACACATTCAGGTACCAATCTATAAACGCAAGAAAGGGTGTGATCATATTCAGAGAAGTACAAGTTGATGTGGGGTTTTATATGGGAACTGGTGGAAAATGTGGCTAGAGAGGTAAGTAGGAGCCAGATCAGAATCTTTTGTGCTTTGCAGAAAGATTAGACCTTACTCCTGTATGAGACTGGAAATTGTACATAGAGGCAAGTCATGCTCAGAATTGCATTTTAGGGAGCAATGAAGAAATTACCTTTGAGTGGGGGATGAGACAGGGAGTCAGTTCACCTGTTATAATAGTCAAAGTGAGAGAAGAAAAAAAAGCCTGAACTAAGGAGAAGCAGGAAAGGAGAATAGGCCACAATTGAAAAGATTTAAGAGCCAGGATAATCAGGATTCAGTAATCTATTGGAAGGGTGATAAAGAAATGGTAACTCTCGCCCTAACTGGTTTGGCTCAGTGGATAGAGCATCGGCCTGCGGACTGAAGGGTCCCAGGTTCGATTCCGGTCAAGGACATATACCTTGGTTGTGGGCACATCCCCAGTAGGGGGTGTGCAGGAGGCAGCTGATTGAGGTTTCTCTCTCTTTGATGTTTCTAATTCTCTATCCCTCTTCCTTCCACTCTGTGAAAAAAATCAATAAAATATATTTAAAAAAAGAAATGGTAACTCTCAAATCCTGTGGGTTTGGACACTAGGCTCTAATGTGATAAGGAGAGTTTCCAAGTCCAAGCCACTTTCCCAACATGGTAGGATGGAGAAGGAGTTCCCGTCCCCACTGCTATCCAAATGCAGGAAGTCCTAGGTGAATACTCCTCCCACTTATTTTTATTGTCATTCTTTATTCATGTTGGGCCATTTCAAGGGAAGAAAGAAAAGCAAAATTGTGATTCGTTCAGAGAGCCAGAATTTACTAAGTGCCTGCCATTCTGTCAGAAGAATGGAGCTGAGAGTGGCAATGGGTCTCTGAAGGGAAGTATATACTCTGAGAGTTTGTTTTATGTGGCAAAATGAGCATCTACTGGCTCTGTTAAAACTGCTATGTGGTCTGACTGTGTGTTGTTTTTTCCTGACTGTGTATTTTATGGGAAATACATGATTCTTACTCTTTCGTTTCTAAGGGAAAAGCTGGTAGAGTAAACTATTCATCTCAGACTGGGCTATACTGCAGTTAAAAATCAGACTGAGCACAACAAAAATTTGGGGGTTTGCTTACACCAGCAATTTTCAACTGGTATGCCACAAGAGTTTTTATTTTTTTAATGAAGATTGGAGAGGTTTTTGTTTTATTAGTTCTAATAAGTTTTTTGTTGTTGTTGATTTTAGAGAGAAAGGAAAGGAGAGAGAGAGAAACATTAATGTGAGAGAGAAACCAGTTGCCTCCTGCATGCCACCCCCCTGGGATCGAGCTCACAATCCAGGCACGTGCCCTGACTGGAATCAAACTGATAACCTTTCTGGTCACACCGGCCAGGGCCATGAATGTTCATAAAAGCATTATTCAGGATAGTCAAAAGGTAGAAATAACACAAATGTCCATCAACCGATGAATAGATAAATAAAATGTGCTCTATTCATACAATGGAATATTACTTGGTAATAAAAAGGAATGAGTACTGATACATGCTACAACATGTATGAACCCCGAAAACAAGCTAAGTGAAAGAAGCTAGTCATAAAGGACCATATATTTTGAGATTCCATTCATATAAAATGTCTAGAATAGGCAAACCCATAGAGACAGAAATAAAATGGGGATTGCCTAGGATTTGGGTAACTGGGGGGAATGGGTACAGGATTTCTTTGGAAAGTGATTAAAATGTAAAATTGTGGTGATGGCGGAACGAATCTGTGAATATACTCAAAACTTGTACACTTTAAATTGGTGACTTTGTGAATTATATGTTAAAGTTGTTATTTAAAAACAATAAGTATTCTAGGCAAAGGAATACAGTCCTCTCAAATAATTTAATATCATAGCAGAGGCGGATATAAACATTTTGAGACATGCATGAAAGATTATGTGAGCACACAGAGTAGGGCATCTGAGCCCAACTAAAGAATTTGGAGATGTTTTCCTTTGTTGGGAAATAATGCCTGAGCTGAATCTTGAAGGAAAAACAAATTATCAGGGTGAAGTGAGGCAGGACACAGACTAGCAAAGACACAAGTTTGTGCTTAATATAGGAATTGGGAGAAGTACTAGAAGAAATCTGGCCTTTCTTCCTTTCTTTCTTTTAAAGCAACAATTTTTATTTTATTTTTTTCCCCATCACCATTTATCCCCCATACACCCTGTTCCACTTCCACCCAGCAATCTGGTATTTCTAATCTGCAAATACAAGGAGGAGAGTGCTGAGCCCAAGTAGCTTGGATAACAAACAGTAAGAAAAGAACAATGCATAAGTGAACTGTGAGTTATAGCTTAAAATTCAAAGGTGGACTCTTTTACTGGGGAGGTGACAGCTGAACTGGGTCTTGAGTCAAAGATCTTAGCGAGACAGAGAGAAGCAAAGAGATGATAAAGAACTCATATTCAGAGTACAGTAATTCCCTCCAACCAGAGTATAATGTCAGGACATGAGAACAACAACAACAAAAAGAGTAGATCTGAGCTCTCGGGTCCTCATTTCCAAGATGACCAAGAAAAGAAGGAATAACAGTTGTTCCAAAAAAGGCCGAGGCCATGTGCAGCGTATTCGTTGCACCAACTGCACCCGATGCATGCCCAAGGACAAGTCCATTAAGAAGTTTGTCATTCGAAACATAGTTGAGGCCCCAGCCGTTAGGGACATCTCTGAAGCAAGTGTCTTCGATGCCTATGTGCTTCCCAAGCTATATGTAAAACTACATCACTGTGTGAGCTGTGCCATTCACAGCAAGGTAGTCAAGAATTGTTCTCAGGAAGCCCAGAAGGACCCAACGCCCGCACCCCAATTTAGACCTGCGGGTGCTGCCCCACAACCTCCACCAAAGCCCATGTAAGGAACTAAGTCCTTAAGGAGTGAAGAAAAGTTCTCTGGGGGGAAAATAAATGGAAATTGTACTTAAGAAAAAAAGAGTAGATCTGAGATTATGGAGGTACTTATGTAATAATAACTAACATAAAATCCATGCCCATGTACTTTCCATCCATTATCTCATTTAATCCTTGCAAGGAAACTGAAATCTAGGAAAATAAAGTAACTTGCTTAAACTTCACACTGTCCTAATACAACTTCACACTTGTCCTGCTCCTTAACAGACCAACTCCTTTGAATTTCATTTCATCAGTATGAAAAGCCATAAGAAAGTTTTTTTTTAGCAATTGCCACTTAATTTCTTCTCTGTCTTCTCCTTCTAATGGCCTCCGTTTTCTCTTTTGGGAGAGCAGAAGGGAAAATGGAGAGGGGACTTTAGCTCCAGAAAGCGTTTCTGATCATCCTCCCTCTTCAGAATGGCCAGTCTCATCTGAATCGCAAGCCCTCTCTTGCATTTAGGGGCTTCAACACCGATCGCTCTGCTGTTTACATAAGACTGTTCTTTAAAGCTGCAAGAGCTTATTTTGTGTTTTTAACCTTCTTATGTAAAGCAAGTACTAGTAGCATCCTTATTTACAAATACCGAGAAGGAAGTTCAGAGAGACCAAATGATTAGGTAAATCACAACTCTGGGCGGCGATTTCTTTTCCTGTAAAATGCGGTTGTTGAAGTACACATTTCTTTGCAACAACAAAATATTTATCATTCTGGACCTGCTCAGAGTTGGCAAGCAATTCAGAAGCAAAATTAGTTTACTAACTCAGACGTATCTCTACTAGATCATTGTGGGAAATAAAGTCCTGCGCTCCCCAGGGCAGCCGAGGTGGAGTGCGTGCAGATGCGGAACGGATTTTGAGAGCGGTGGGGACGCGTTTTTAGAACGGACCGGAAAAAGGAAGTGTGTTACACCAGCCAGATGACCCACTCCCGCTGCTGCGGGCGCAGCGCAGGGTCCGTGGAGTTCCGGCTGCTCCCGGCGGGCCTAAGCCCTTGAGTCACCGGTGGCAGGTGAAGACGACCGCAGGCTCCTGACCTGCTTGTTCCGGCGGTGACCGGACTGGCTGATGACTTTGGCCGCTGCCCTTTCTCTGTTCTTGCTGACCTTGGCCCAGGGTCGGAGCCAATGGCGGCTTGGGCCACTGTCTATCTGAGCAGGACCGCTGCACCATGCTTGCGGGCTCTAGGCCCTGGAGCCCAGGCGGCTCTTCCGTGCGTCTCCCCAGGCTCTCAGCCCCATACCCCGGGCTGTAGCCCCGCTCGGGGCCGGACGCTGCACCTCACCACCGCAGCCCCCGCTGGGCACAACAAGTGGTCCAAAGTCCGACATATCAAGGGTCCCAAGGACACTGAAAGGAGTCGCATCTTCTCCAAGCTTACTTTGAGCATCCGCCTAGCGGTTAAAGGTGAGAACCTGACCGTCACCCACGGCTGGGTCCTACTGCCCTCTCCGTGCCCAAGGCCTCATTTGCCTTTGTCCGGGAGCTGGGCCAGGGCCTATCCCCATCCTCGGCCCTTCATTTTCCTAAAGACAGAGTGAATTAAAAACTTTTCTAAAATATTTCTCCTCCATATTCCATACAAACACTGGATAAAGTATTCTAAACTAACTGAGAACAAAGTGGTGACTTGCCACTCTTCTGGGTAATGATGGGGTATAGGTCTGGAAATAATTAGATGACTTTACTCATTCTTTTCTATCTCAGAAGGAGGCCCCAACCCTGAGCTCAACAGCAACCTGGCCCACATCTTAGAGGTGTGTCGCAACAAGCACATGCCCAAGTCAACGATTGAGGCAGCGCTGAAAACGGAGGTGTGTCCTCGATTTGACATTCTTGTTATTGATCAGAGCCTTTACAGGATCCATGTCTGAAAGGCCACCAGCCACTCCTTAAATTATCAGAGAGAAGGGTAGCAATGTGGTTGACACCTTCAATCCAGAGCCTTTTGGTGGCTCTCCTTGGCCATTGGTTATGGGAGCACAATCAGGAATAGGATGGATAGACAGTGTGCAGAGTCATAGAACGTAGGACTGCTCAGCTGAGTTGTGAGGAGATGGGGTAGAAAGAGTGAGCACAGTGTGGGGAAAGTTCTGATGTTAGACTGAGGAAGGATTTGTTTTTCTGATATTTACGCACAAAGGAGAAAAGCCAGTAGAAAGAGGGAGAGTTCAGATGACAGTGATAGAGCCCAGGTGAGAGGACCTCTTCCTCTGGACAAGTGGGAAGGATCTGAAGAAGTAATAATCATCTTAATAGCTAATAGCTGAGTGCTTACTGCAGGCCAAGCACTTTGATAAGAAAATGGAATGCATTATTTCACTGAGTCCTCAGAACAACCTTAAGTGGAGACTGAGACACAGAAAGGTTAGGTGGCTTGACCAAGCCACACAGAATTGACAGAACTGAAAACAGACAGACTCCAGAACCTTGCTCTATCACAAATATTGCCTTCATGTTGGCCTGGTGTAGATAAGGTGGTAGAGTCGGGATTTTCCCCCACCTGGTGCTGTTTTATTTCCTTTGTGCAAGAGGAAGGGAGAAGTTTCAGTTGAGAGTTCCTGGGAAAGCAGCAGGCAGGGTGCTTGAAGAAAGTGGCAAGGATGGGATGCATGGGCAAAGTGGCATGGGAGATCCAGATGAGATTGGTCATTATAGTTTTTGATCGATTGTTTGAAATTTGGAGGCCATGCTATTTTCAGTGGCTCTTGTGAAAAGGCGTAGGTATGCAACTTTGTGTAGCGGTGCTCAGCAGCCCAGGGGTGGGAGCACAGGTGGATCTCATAAGGGATTGGGTGAAGGAGCTTGAGTTTTGGTTGGAGTTACAAGGGTGGATAGGTGTGAAATTCTGCTGGGGAGAAGAGGAATCAAAGCTGGAACATGGCTACTTGATTGTTCAGGGACCAGAGAAACAGACTCCTTTCCAGGTAAGGGGTAGTACTTCTAATTCCTTAAATGTTGGTCCCATGGGCCTCCTCTAAAAGGGGGAGGGGAGAGACACAAAAATAAACACTTGAGAGCTTAGGCTCAAGCCCAAAGAGCCCATTTATGGAGTCAACTGTATGGGTGGTGCCTATGGTTCTGGGGAGGGAATTGGGAAACAGGAAAATGTGCTTATGTTGTTTTTTTGCAGAAAACCAAGGACATTTATTTGTTGTATGAGGGTCGAGGCCCTGGTGGCTCTTCTCTGCTCATTGAGGCATTATCTAACAGTGGCCCCAAGTGCCATTCGGACATCAAACATATCCTGAACAAGAATGGGTAGGTGTGTGGGGAAAGTGGAGGAGCCTTTAGGTTCTAATTCTGTGCAAGGAAAGTACTGTCCTTTCTGGTACTGGTTCAGATTTTATACATTCTTCATCCTTAGCAGAATCTAAATGGGCTAATTCAGTCTCCCTTAATGTGTTCTGTACTAGGTAGGATCCAGAAGACTTGTTCCTAACTGTAGAAGGGGCTCTTTATCCCATCTCATCTATAGCCTTATAATATCCACATCTTAAAATGTACCACCAGGACTGGAATCTAAATGGCATAGGAATTGATGAGCAAAGTCTTTGCATCCTCTAAACTTAAGTCAGGGCAGAAAATAGAGGGTGGGGATATATTTGGATTACTGGATTAGTGGCTGCATCTTCTTCAGGAAGAGAGCTGCTCCATGTCTGTATATGCTCCAGAGGCGAGGTGGGAGAGAGACATGCAGTGCTGTGTGGAAGCTGAGCGTCTAAAGGCATTTGTTCTGGCCCATTTTCTTTATCAGGGGAATGATGGCTGAAGGAGCTCGCCACTCCTTTGACAAAAAGGGGGTGATTGTGATTGGAGTGAAGGATAAAGAGAAGAAAGAAGTGAACCTAGAGCGTGCCCTGGAGCTGGCGATTGAAGCAGGAGCTGAGGATGTTAACGAAACTGAAGACGAAGAGGAACAAAACATTTTTAAAGTAAGTATGAAGCCTTAGTGTTTGGTGGACTTCCAAGAGGGCCCTAATAGATGCATTAAGGTATGCCTCTCTCAGTTTCCTGCACCTGGGGTACAGATGAGATAAAAGACTTCACACATTGCACAAACGTTTATTACGTGAATACTAGGTAGGACTTGCTCTACCCAGGACTGTGAGAAGGATTCAGAACAATTGAAAATGACATCTCTGCCAGTGAAGAGCTTAAGCCGAGAGATATATCATAGTAGTTCCATTCAGGTGTTGTGACATTCTGTCTAGCTTTGTCCTGTTATCTCCTGGCTCCTCATCTCTTGACTTTGCTTTGTTCCTAGTTTATTTGTGATGCCTCTTCACTGCATCAAGTGAGGAAGAAGTTGGACTCCCTGGGCTTGTGTCCTGTGTCCTGTGCACAAGAATTCATCCCCAACACAAAGGTGCGGCTGGCTGACCCGGACCTGGAGCAGGCTGCCCACCTCATCCAGGCTCTTGGCAACCATGAGGACGTGATCCAGGTCTATGACAACATTGAGTAACCAGACTGTATGTGCCCTCCAGCTCCTTCCTAGGCAACTGGCAGCTTGTTCTGGAGCACAGGCTTCTACAGTGTCCTCTAGACTGAAGTAGGTCTGCAGCCTAGCAGGTTCAAAGGCATAAGATCTACAGCTTTGTGGGCACAGGAACCCCCATACTTCTCTGGGGCCTCTTTGTCAGCTCCGCTGGTGTCTCCCCATTCCCTCCTGGATGCAGAGTGGGGCTAGTCAGCTGGTCAGACTGTGATCTCAGGAAGTTGGCCCTTCTGGGGATGGTAGGTGCTGTGAGGGCCCATATACTCTTAAATAAGAGTGATGGATCTGTGTTGCTGCATTGTTGTATATGGCTCTTGAGTTTTCCTGGGTTTGTGTCCAGCTGTTAAGACCCTCTTGACTACCTTTCAAGTCTATAAGCCTAGTTCCACTACTCCAATCCCAGGACTGTTGTTTATGTTTGTTTTGTTTTGTGGTTTGTTTGTTTTTTTTTTATTGACTATAGGAATGTAACTCTCTCCAGACACTCTATGCTCTAATGCAGGTCTAATGGCCTAAACCTGCCATTCATTCATGCAACTGATGTTTATCAAACACCTACTATGTACCAGGAACTATACTTATCAAGAGCACTAGGTGTTCAATTGGTACCCTGTGTTAGATCCTACTCTAAGACATAGGACCTCAGGGGGAGCTGTCCTAGGCCAGTGCAAGCTGCTGCACATGCATTCTTATTCTCTTTGTGTGCCAGGGAGCCGAAGGCTCTGGCTCAATAGGAAATCAAGTGCCAATGATAAGAGACTCCTGCTTTGCCCAGGCCCCTGTGTGCTCTGAGATTTGTTAGAGTGGACCAGTCAGCAGATTAGGTTACTCTCAGAAAAGGCCATACCAAGCTGGTTTAGAAAGGTGCTTGGTCCCCAGAATGCCCAACCCTAGGTCCTCTTCATCCCTAATGCCAGATGGTGAGGTACTGGGAACAGGAGAGGAAATGAGAACAGAAGGCTGAATCAAAAGCCTGGCCAGGTGGGAAATAGGGCCCTTGGTGATTTTTGCTTCTAATAGTCACTTCTGGGTTTAGAGAGGCCAGGAGTGTCAACCACCTGTTCTGAAGCCCATCAGCATGTCAGGCCTGGACTGGCTTTTTGATCCCTGCTATTCAGCTACTTATAAGTTGTTTAAGCCAGTCTGAGCTCAGAGCAATTTTCATGAAGAAGTCTCAGGTAAATGAGGATGGAAAAGAACTAAAACAAAATTAGTTATAGATGATAACTTCAGCTTCTAGGAAAAACAGATTACTAATTCTTTGATGACTTAAGCATCTGAAGAGTGAAGGCTAGGGAAAGGAAAACTAATGAAATAATCCATGATCATGCCAA